TCATAAATCTTATTTATTATACAATTCATGCACAGGATCCAACGATTCAACTACCAGCGCCATAAGCTCTTGGCTCTGGATGGTGAAGACTGGATCATGATCGCAGTTGATGGAATGGATCAGAAAAAGATAACGTTCCCCGTTTCACAGAATAGGACAATATTACTGTCAACCTTCCCAAGATCAACACGCTTGTCACTTGCAAATTATGTTTCACATGACTGGAGATTCATAGTAAATCTCAAAGTTCGTTGACACATTGTTTTTATTGAATAGGATTGCTGGCATACACTGAAAGTGTTATCAGGGAACTCCCATTCGTCGTCATGGGCCAGTACCCTCATAATTCGATCTTATGCATTGACGTCATTCTTCGAAACCTCCTGCACCTCAAGGACAATCTCAAGCCAAAAATGTTCATTCAGATCGATAACTTGGCTAGGGGACAATGATGCAATTTGCCATCCTCAATCTAAGCATGCTCATCTTTCACATGATGAAGAGCAAGAGCACGTAAGTTGTTCCTGAAAACCTCTGGGTCTTTTAGGGCATCAGCATCAACAAGAGCAGAAAAAAAGTTAATCCTAGAATAACGGATGAATGCCTCCGTCAAGCAGCCACATGATGGTTTATTCGTGTGCTTCTTCCCGAAGTATTCGCATTTCAATTCAAACAACTCAAGGAAGGCTTCCTTATGATTGTCTGCAAAGGCTTTCGTCACTTTCTTCAGAGCGGCATATTTTTGTAATATATTAGTGTGAGACCTAGCTGCGTGCCCCCCACAAATCATAATTTTGGAAGAATCATCATCAGGATATGCCTCTCGGAAGCTCACCTTGCTCGTAGAGTCCTTGTCCTGCCAATTGACTTCAACATCGACACCACGAGTCCGCAAGTAATGGAAGCCCTTGCTGGCAGCATATCCCTCGGCTGACTTGGAAGTTCCATCATAGAGGGGAACACTGCATAATTTATCTCTCCCGTGCTGCGACAAATGAAGAACATATAAGTACCCACTAGTGGGGAAATCTCTGATAACAAAATATAAATTCTTGCTGTGGGATCCCCTAGTTAGGCAAGCACCGTCACTCGTTGTGATGGCACGAGATATGCTGCCAACTTCACCTGAATCCTTCTTCGAGATCTCATACAAAGTCCTACTACACATCTTGTCTACCATGGTTTGGATTGGTTCATACATGTACAACAACGTCCTAGCAGAAGTCTTTGAGGTAACCGCAGCCATTCCTAAGCCTAGACCAAACATTCGATAATATTGACTATATGTTAATCCTGCAACTTTTGCTGCGACTAGCAGAATGACGCTATTGAGCAGCCCAAGCAGCATGTTTACGCAAACAAGATATCAATTCCTTGCAAACAATGTGAATTTATTACGATTGCCATGAAAATGACATCACGTTTACGTAAAATTTCCGTTCCTATGTTTACGTCACCAAAGTGTATGTGTATTTTACATAAACTAGACGTCACTCCATTTGACGTAAAGTACATGATATCAGGTTTATGCAAAATTAACGCCACACCATCCATATGAAACTTTAGCTGACCATCCTGCAGTTCCAGTACCAAGATTCCTCACTAGATGGAACCCTTGTTCCCTGCATCCGACAAATACTATTAAGGCTTTCCTGATAGAATATTAGATTTTCTTATCATCCATTGACTTGTTATTATGCAATCCATGAATATATATCTGGAAATCATGAAATTATTATATATTTTTTTAAATATATGACTCAGGGAATCATTAAATGCTGAAGTTAAGCTTTTTATTACAGCAGTGCACGGAATTAGGGAAGAGTAGAATCCCAGCTCTACAAGTACTAAATCTTCTCTATCCTAAATGGGAAAGAGCTCCTTGATCATCTACTCCTCCTCCCGAGGTTCCAGAACAGGGGGAGGAAGTGGTAGGTCGTTCAGGTACTCTTGAGTGCTGATGAGTGTACTCATCCAACCACTCTTGAGTTCTGAAGTATGGAAGGGAATGGGAGATACAGTATATCAATTCTTTTCAAAAGTGCTGATTGGCTCGTTAAAGGCACATGAATGCTAGAGGGAATTTAAAATAAATCTTACGTAAAATCAATGTAAAAATACTGTTAGGAGTGCAAACGGGCATGCCAATTTTACATAAAATTGACGTTAATTTTATATCACCGTTTACATATCACAGAGGTGACATTTATGCAAACATGTTGGCATTATCTTGACAATGGTTTGCGTAAAAATGATATAAAATGGACAAAAAATGTATATTCAGTTTGCGTAAAATTAACATTAGCATGCTGTTTGGGAGGCGGCGCGTAGTTTGCAGAGAAAGGGATGATTCATAGCGGATCCGTCTTGCCTGGCAAGAATGGCGCGAGAATTCAAGTACAATTCCTCCTCCTTTTCCACTTGAAGAATGGGAAACTGGGGGAGGTTGCCTAATAGGGAGAAACATGAGCGTCGATAATTATAACTTCATTTCATTTAGGTATGAAATAGTTTTTCTTTGTTGCCTTCAAGCTAATAGTTCATTTCTATTTAGAGTTCAATTTTCAGAAGCGATTATTCAACTAACCTCGACAGACTAACCTCTAACAACAGTGTTACAGACAGGAGGATGAAATCGAAGAAATTTTTCAAAGCTCTCTGTATCTGCGAGGAAAAATCCCCTTCGTATATCGCCCATGGCCTCACCTGTCCAAGATTAAAAAAATGCAGGCATAATTCAATTTATATTGGTGACACTCTTTCATCGGAAAGATAATGCCGTTTGATCGATGGCTCATTACATTTCCCTGGTTTTGGTATCAAGAGTTTCCATATGTTACAACCTGAAAATTGCTAAGTTGATTCATCGAGCTCAAAACTTGAAATTGCAAATAGATCCAACATACCAACTGATGAACTTGTTGGCCCTTCAGGCTCTGAGTCGCTGGATCCGTTACTGGTTGAACTGCTACCTGCAAGCAGGCATCGAGGGCATCTCATACTCTGTAACGTGAAGGAAAGTTCATCAATCATGAGAGAAGGAAAACAATACTTTAATGGATATAATAAAATTGCCCATGCCTGAGGAGATGGGAGGACATAGCAATTCTGTCACTGTCCACCTATTTTTCACCGCCTTCCTAGATCTCTTCTTCTTTCTTAATTTTTTGGCGTTAATTTCTCTTTTTGATTGGAGGACCTGCAACGTATTATATATAATACTTAAACATGTTTCAATTAAAGATTCTTCATTTCAATCAGCTAAGTGTATGCGATTGTGATGTTTCCGAGATAAATGAGAAAAAATACCTGAGATATGGACTGTGATGCATTAATTTCGTCCTCGATATGACTTTTTTCCTCTCATCAATGCCAGAGAGGACAAATCGGGCAGAAGGGAGTATCATTTTTCCACAGACCTCATTTGGCAGAAAGACAAACTATTTCCTTCAAAACGGACAATTGAAGGCCATTTTGAATAACCAGACATATTTACATAACGAGATTAATTGGCTGACTTTGAATGAATATTTGCCTTGAAGACCTCTTTGCATTTGATTCCGCACTCAGTAATGTCAGCATGTATCATTGNCCTCGCATAACGAACGCAATTCGTTCCAGCGGTGCGTTCGTTATGCGAGGTGTTCGTTATGCGAAACACGATTTCCCATAGACTTCTATGGGAAATCATGTAATCCGTTCCACGTCGCCGCGAAAAATCAAGGAAATTAGGAAAAAATGTTTCACTTTCACTCGCGAACACCTCGCATAACGAACGCACCGCTGGAACGAATTGCGTTCGTTATCCGAGGCACCACTGTATATATGATGGATTGGAAAGGCGCAGCCTTGTAGGCTTGGCCTATGACCAAGAATGGCTTTGCATCATAGGCCCGCGCGTTGGGGGTGACAGTCACGACCACCACCACCGCAGCTTTTGACCTCTTCGAATTAAAGTATAGGATGATGATGGGGATCATCCATATCCTTTGATGAGCCAACTGTCTCCGGGGCGTATCTCAGGTTAATCGGTGCTGCGGAATTTCCGAGCCGCGACTGCCTTTCGCCCTCGGAATATTGCGTGGTCCATCACTCTCGGAGATGAAGAAGGAAATGATACAGGCGTTCCCGATGCTTCAACTAATGTTATTAGACGCTGACAGCACATTCATCAATGCTGTCAGCGACTGATCATGAGACTGCACAATCACCTCATTCACCTCGTCGTCTCTCTTCGCAATATATACTAGAATCAGGAAAGGGTCCATCAAGAAAGATATGAAATGCATGATGATAGAAAATAACTTTTGTAGCTCATACTGAGTCGTGTCATAATCTGATCCCAAATCTGCCTCATCCATCCTCTCTGAAGATATCCCTTCCATGGGGGCGTCCAACTCCACAGGTACGAGGGACAATAATTTCAATGGGGATGGCAACTCCCGTTTCTCTAGAACATGAGAAAATTCTATATTCTGTCATGCCCCTGTGCTGCCACAAACACGGATAAAGGCTGCAATCATATATACATCCTTCATTAAATATGAATGACTCACTCAATCCCCTAATATTGGAAAGAAGCCAACCATTTAATTGGCCAATAGAGGTGAGGAGCTCCTTCCTGCTTAGGACAGATGTTGCTATAGGAATCTTGCGCGTGCTAGCAACGACAGCATATGCGTGGTGTTGCGCGAAAAGTTCCCCTGTAATCAGATGAAGAAACCTTCCCTGGAATGCGATCATATGGGATGGATGGGATTCTTAATATGGGATCTGTGATTGTTAATACATAAATTCAGAGTGGTACTAGTTTGACCTATCGTCAACATTGCCCCCACCGTTTTGCTGTCCACGAATACATCTAATTTCTTCTTAAATATAGTCACAGAAGGGGCAGCCACTACTTCGTCATCTAACGCATTCCACTAAGAAACCTTCCCTGGAATGCGATCAAAACGACGAAATATCAGAAAATTCAGGAACCCACCTTCACTTTCAGCCTAGTTGATGATGGCAATAACAGTTTTAAGGCAGTGACTTCTAAGGGATTCCTGGATGGCTGCAGCCTGCTTAATGTCATCCACCATGAAGGCTGTGGGGATATTTTTGTCACCATGGAAGCGACCCTGATGGTCATTAAGACCTAAGAGGCATTTTTCGGCTTCTCCTAAGCTCTGTGAGAAGGAATAAGAGCAAAGAAAATGCATTTTTTAACATTGAGAGAAGGATGGGAAGGCTGATATATTATTGCATGCTCACCTCAACCGCGAATACGGCGCTACGAAATGGTAGATCAAAACAACCCTCTGGCACCTCAAGGTGACTTCCAAGAACCGTGATAATCTCAGAGTCAGCTCCCAGTTCTTCAGTATTCTGTGTTACTTGTCCGCCTATACATAGTTCCACATAGCCCTTCCATTCTTTCTCCTTCTCTGGGTTTTTCAATCTCATGAAAGGTTTGAGCGCCTCGTCTGTCACATGCTGTGAATACCTGTGGTCCATTTCTTCCTCCCTTATTCCAGCAAGCCTGTAAAATTTCGATATTTGAAGTGCTTTTTTCCTATGCTGCGATGCTAAGGACTGGGCTCGAAAAAACAATAATAAATAAAATTTTTCATCGTTGATGTCGATACTTCAGATAACAAATACGAATGAGGGTCAAATGAAGGAATTATACTCGGAAAATGACGTCCTTAAGGTCTTCTTCCGGATGACATCTTCCAGGTTATTCCCAAGCTTCTTCATGTCACCAGCACAGTTCACCACCTTCAGGCTTTCCTGTCAAAATATTGAATTTATGCATTATGATGAGTTCACACTCTTCGAAAAGTATATGGGAAATTTTTTACTGTAAACGTAGAATATTTCTAGGCATTCGGCTTACCAGGAAATCATTTGAGGAAATGCTTGGGTTACCCAAATGTCTCAGGTGGTACAGTTTCTTAGATACACAGCCTGGGTCGGCATCTTCAAGTCGCTTAGCCATCATGAGGAATTCCTTCACCACTGGAGGTCCCATGCGGAGCAAGTTGTTGATTACTTGTCTCTTTTTTCTGTCCTGATAAATCATGTAACTCATGTCATCACTTAGCAATTACAATAGCAGCAATTCGTAAAAAAAAAAGAAAAATGATGCGTGCACGGGTAAGAAAGAGTATTACATTATTATACAGAGTATTACATTAATGTGGGGCTCTGCACCCTTCAATATATGCCCGTGCTTTTTTCGCTGCTTATGTCGGTCTTAACGTATATTTTTAAAAAGGCATAGAAGCAGGGAACACTGGGTCTACCTTACCTTCAGAGTGTCGGTGTATTCCTTTGGAATTTCCCCATCAGTTGCAGCTTCCTGCATCTCATGGTATTTTTGCAGCTGGAAGCATGGAAGAGAGTGTTATCAGTACTGAACAGAGGACTCTTACACGCCATCGTTGAATGCTTCAAAGAGCCAAGTCATTTCACTACTTGATGTCACAGAATACCCTAACAACCAAATCGTATACACGTTATCAAGAGGGAAAGTGCTACAGCAAACTCACAACATCAAGCACATTATAAGGAACTGCTTGAAGTTTGGCATTATGTAGAGCCAGCATCCGCTTCTCTGCTTCCGTGACCCCCACATAGATGGCACATGTGCAAGTATCTTTACCAGTTGGTGTCTCCTCCAACAGTTTTTTTCTAGCCTGGACTATATGCTGGCCAGCCACAGCCTCATACGAATAGGCATGGATCTGTAAGATCATGTGCTCTTAAATTACTCTCATCTCCTGATAAGCTGTTTCAACTATGCATTCAAATGATCATCAAGAACTCTTGCTAGTTGAAAAGAGGGCATGAGCTTTTTAATATTTGATTAAAATAAACTCACGTAATTTGCATCGAATCTCACGGTCCCAGGCATAGATGCGACGAGAATCGGAAGTTGGCAACCCATGTCTTCTCCTTCCAGTAGGATTTGCTTTTTCAGGACATCTTTTGCCTCTGTCGAAAAAGACCTCGCAGCTGCACAACTTTGCCGTATCATCCTCAGGGGTATCTGATGAGTCCCTGTAGTGAGAATGGAACAATCTCATTTCATCAAGTGTGCCTTGATGAAAATGGGAAATCTTGGTGTGCACTTCATATTTTGGGCATATTCGTTATAAGTAAAACATGTCAAAACTAGGGCTGTACCAATATATCGGCAACTTCTGTTATCGGCCGCCTGTATGGTCCAATATGCGCCATCGGCCTGTTTACAAGCTGCAAGTGCCGATGTCCTTAGAAGAACATGCGTAATGTATCAAAGGAAAAGAAAAATATATGAACGGGGATACGGGGATTGATTATCAACAGCAATAGGAAAAACTCGGTCCCACTCTTTGCATCCATCGATGAATGAATGTCATTTTCGATAGTTGGAGGAATGGTAGGCTTTTATTACCCATAGAGAAGGGCGCACTTCCACCCCCCCCTCCCCTCTCTCTCCGATCACAGGCGACAGATTTCGGAGTAAGGATTGAGATGGGCGCCCCAAGCAAGGCAAGAAAGGAAGAAAGTGACGCCTCCGCCCCATCACAGTGAGAAAGGACTGAATCCGCCGATCCCCCCTCCCTGGTTGCATCAATGCATTATGCCTCATTTCGATACTTCGATATTTTTTAAACACCTAGCGCGACAGAAAAAAAATTAAACATCGCTATGAATGGCATAAACAACGGCATGAATAGGTTAATTCCAATAAATGATAATGATAATACAAATAATTATTTCGATACTTCGATATTTTTTAAACACCTAGCGCGACAGAAAAAAAATTAAACATGGCTATTAATGGCATAAACAACCGCATGAATAGGACAATTCCAATAAATGATAATGATAATACAAATAATTACCTGTTTCTCTCTACTTCACGATACACATCGGCACCGGCGCCAGCCAATAGGTATGAGACAATAATTATCCAAATGTGACCATCGGTACAGCCCTAGACAGAAGGTTTCTCTCCTTAGACTAGCAACATAGCAAGCGTTTCAACTTTTCAGATATGGTTCTTTCGCATCAGGATAATAGGTATGAGACAATAGTTATCCAAATGTGACCATCGGTACAGCCCTAGACAGAAGGTTTCTCTCCTTAGACTAGCAACATAGCAAGCGTTTCAACTTTTCAGATATGGTTCTTTCGCATCAGGAAGCTATCTACGATTGAATTCAAATGTAAACTGAAATTGAAACAACATGCATATTATTTATTGGCATTCCCTAACCCATACAATTTTTTCCTTAAATATTTCGTTGTTTTTCTGACCCCTACATAGACTGCTCAAATTAATAATATTTGCGTGCATTGCGATATCGTTTCCAATGAAGCTCCAGATTAAAGAGGACAATGCTCTCCCAAAGTACCATAAAAGCAGGCTTCATGTCGTTCTGCAGGCATAGCTTGTCTGTGTGTCCTCTTCCGTTCGGAGCTAATAATCCTCTTTCCAGTGTCGGCTGTCCTACTTAGCAGTTCTTGGGCGCAGGAGGTGGCTGGAGGGATTGAAGTTTGCGACCCTGGGGACTCTGCAAGGCATCCATGAACTCTGTCAAGACAGTGCAGAAATGTGACAGTGTAAAGCATTTTCTTTGTAAGTATTGAGATTCAATGTTGAAGATTTTTAGTGAGTGATAACTACGAACTGGTTTCTATGTTCCTTTGGACTGGTGACTGATGTCGCATCTTGCTCATGACGGATCTGCATAATTCTTTCGTTGAGACTCCGCACGAACTCCTGGAGTCTTCTGGTCTTCATGTAATCCTTTATTATAGATGCCGTCATCTTGTTTTTTCCGTAGATACGTTTCACCGGGATTGCAGCAGAATGCCCGAAGTCTTCAAACTCCAACTAAGAAGACATGAAATATACACCTGTTAGCCAGTAAACAGTGACGATACAGGGGGAACAATTTTCTTCCGTTAGCAAAGCATTTTCAAATCCACATATATCCCAGTTTACCGAATCACTTAACCATCAAAGAGAAATCATGTGAAGGTGAGAGTGGTTCAGTAAACAGTGACGATACAGGGGGAACAATTTTCTTCCGTTAGCAAAGCATTTTCAAATCCACATATATTCCAGTTTACCGAATCACTTAACCATCAAAGAGAAATCATGTGAAGGTGAGAGTGGTCTCATATTGATTGCCATGGTCTAAAACCTTGCACGAAAAATAGAATGTGTTAATTGATTGATCAATTAAAAAGTTAATTACTTTATTTCCTTGATCCTACCTGTTGAGTGCTCTCTCTTGGATCGACCAGGCAGTCTCTGATCTCAACGATGCCCTTTACAGCTGATTGTTAATTGCATTTTTCTTACTGCTAATTAACAATTATCCATGAGGGAAAGACTTCCGACCCGTCGAATGGTGCATGTGACATATCAATCGCAAGCTCTTAAGTGGATTGAAATGGTGCATATTTTAATTGCGAAATATGAGAAAAAATGTAGTAATTTTAATATGTAGTCGCGTTGAACGGAGGGAATGTCCGTTTGCGTTAGAGCAGAAACCCTTATTTGTGGTTATAGGTATCGTTATGATATGAGTTGGGTTCGGTGGTGTAGTGGTAATGTAACTGATCGAGGTTAAGAATACCCGGGTTCAAATCCCAGTCGTGCCTTGCATTTTTTTCGTCCAATCCCGGCAGCCCCCCCCCCTACCTTCAGTCTTCATGACATGTGACCCCCAAAAATTTCCAACTTCAAACTTTTTCACGCAGTGATTTTGCGTTTTTGATCGATACTCTAACTAACCTCCGAAAAAAAAAACAGGAAGAAGGCACATCAAGTGACCCGCATTCATTCTATGTTTGGCCGAACGAGCGAGAAAGTCAGCCAAATTTGGGGAATGATGGAGCAGTTGAATCAGAAAATGATTGTGGCCAAAGGCCGCAACTCTAACATCCGCTATAGCAGGAAATTTAAAAAAAACCCCTGGGGGTTCTACTTAAAGAGCAAATATTTTCACTTTGCCAACTGAACGTACAGTAAACTCTGGCAACTCTTGCTATCTTAGTCCATCGAGGCTCCTTCTGGACATGGCTACTCTTATTTTCACCCGGAGAGTTCTGTAGTCCCCTCCTCCCATCGTATCATTCATCCCCATAATATAATTTTTCACAAGCCATGCATTGGAATTCAGCGCATCTATCATTGCGAAGTAATCTGTGGTCAAGGTGACCCGAAAGTTCCCGGACGCTTTAAAAATCGAATATTTTATTCATAGTGACAATAACACAATCTTCTCACCGGAAAATATGATAGAATATACTATTTAAAACTAATGCAATCGAACATTTTCAAAATGTCCGCTCTTTCCTTTGATGCACTGCGTCATTCATTTTGAGAACTGATTAAAGACTGCGCGCAGCATTCACGGCAGTGCAGTGGCTTAAATCCCTGGCTTTAAAAAATATTTGGATGCGATATCCAAAAACTACCTTTAACCCGCAACACAGAAAAATAAAATGATTCTTAAAAAATGTTCTCGGCAGGAAAAATGATCGTTCCCCTGAAAGTAACCGACCTTGAAAATGTGTCCAGGAGCATTCTGTTCACCATGTAAAGCATCTCATTGTATCCTAATCCATTTATGATGACAGAGACTGAAGGCCAGTATCTGTCCTATGTTACAATTCGTTGAAGCCAATATTGGCGACACGGAGCAAATGAAGGGCCGTTAAATTATCATTTACTTCAGGTTTTTCCGTGATGATTGTTTCTACACGTACGTTCGCTGCCTCAACGAAACATCCATCTCACAGGTGAATTATGAAAAATATGGATGTTCCTTCATGTGTAAATCCTTTTGCAGGAGGTATATCTATCTGGTTTTAAATCCACAGTTAAGAGATATTCACATGGTTCCAAGTTCACCTTCTATCTATCTGTCATTCATCTGTCGTTCAGCCACAACTGATGCTGGTTGACAGTTCGGAGGGACAGACCGGAGAGGCAGCGAAAATTGTGGAGACGCAAAGATTATTGAATAAAATACGGACCTAAATTTTACAAACATTCCACCTAATATGATTCCTTTTGCAACAATACAGGAATACTTCAGTGCCTTTGAAATCAAAGTATGATTTTCATAGTAAAGCAGCTAACTTTCAAATTGCAGTGTTTTTCCAGCGTACACCTCACACACCTGGAGATAAATATGTCAACGAGGGGATCCATCCCCGGCAGGAACCTCCACGTTCGCCCTTGGTCTTGCAGCGCCGTGATGTTCCCCAACCCGGGCAGCCTGTCCACGAGGCAGAAGTCCACGTGAGTGTAATTGCATTGCATGCCGCACATCCATTCCCGCTGCTCGGGGATTTCAGACTTATAGTCTGTGTAGATCCGCATTATCCAGCCTAAATATGAATGAAAATACATTTGTAATAATTCCATAGTTTAAAGCCAATGGGTACCAACGTTGTTACCCTGGGACTGCATGAATATATGTATTGTTCGAAAGAACCTATGACTCGCCACCGTGACGAAGTTGCTTTTTTCATGAATCATATTGTTACGATGAACGAAACTGATCTCCATCACTATGAACAAGAGACTAAACAGCAGAGCAGGACGTGGAAGCTAAATAGGAAGGGAGTCTGATATCGAAAGCGTTTAAGAGGGGATAATCTGCTGAAAAATGTATGGTCAGTGTCATTTGAGGCGATGCTTCTTGGTGGACTATTTACTTGTTGTTGACTATGAAACAGTACATACTTTTCTCGTTTCCTTCATGAAAGACTTCGCCCAACATTCCGGTGGAAACGGACACAGAACTGACCTGCAGAAGGCCGCACAGTAGGGAGCTCTTGTTATTCGTTCTTGAGAGGATGGCAAGGGATGTAGGGCGGCTGATTTCACTTGTGACGTCACCAGCAGTTATAAAACGACTGAGGAAGACGTCTAAGACGTGGAGAGGCTCTTACTGCCGTTCTCCCAGGAACGTGATCGCGACACAATATCTTCCAATCAGGAACGCCTCTGATAGTCACATGATTCGCTGAAGTCAGTCATCCATGAAGGAAAGCGAAATTGATGGCGAAACAGCTGAAATTCAAGTTACTGGATGCCAATGGTGGGTTTCTAGGCAATTGTCTTTCATCCACAACTTGAATTTCAAGCCAAATGCCCCCCAGGACGGGAACTGACTTGGCCTCTTCGCCATCAGAAAACTAGGATACCATACGGACCTGAACATCGGCTACTTTTCTATGGGAGACGGACCAAAAGGAAGCATTACATGTTGTTGGGGATAGTGTGATGGGAGAATGGGACAGAGGAACTCCAGTCGCAGTCCAAGGTTGTGACTGCTACATGCAGACATGGTGAACTGATATCAGACAAAAGGAATCCAGTAAGTTAAATCTGTAGGCAAACAAACATCAATTCCAAATGAATTCTCTTCTTAAGAAAATATAATGTAGCTGCAGTAGATCAAAACTTGGGGAAAGTGTCTAATATTTGGATATCTGGGGATTTATGAGTTTACCAGATTGTACCTTAAATGTGTATTACTTGGACAACAATGCCTTTGATTGGATCTTGTTTGAACATCTGCAATGATATCCGTGGATGATACTCTTCTTCTCTCTATATGGAACGCGTAGCCCATGTGCCATTCGAAATTCTAGAACTAGTGGCACGTTCGCATCCCCGTCTTCCCAAAAAATGGGTAACCAAAACTCTATAGTGTGGCATATAACAGCAATCTCAAAAATGGTATGGATAGACATGCAATCGCTGGATTCATCTGAGGGGAAAATGAACAAACTCTCTAAAGTTGAGTTAAAGAGTTTTTCTAAAGAAAAACTCTCTCTAAAAGGAAAACCTCTCTAGAACATGGTTAGAATTAGCGTCAGTCCGTCAGTCATGATCGTCTATATATATTAGATACTAGCGATTTTGTTTGCCCTTCGGGAAACAAACTTGGTCCCGTCTTCGGCGCTCGATTACTTTAGAGAGTGATTTATTAATTTATTCTTTGCAAAATGGCAAACCGGTATTTAATGCACGTCCCCATTGAAATTTGCGACATATGGGGACGAAAGTCTTGATTTTTATCAAAATCATTACTTCTATTATTTCTATTCAGCCTAACTTGAAATATTTTCATGTGTCCCTTTCTGTAAGATCCATTTTGAAATACTTCCGTCCTATAATATAATCTACGCTAAGGACACATATTTCAAAAAAAGGATTTTTCCTGTACTCAGTAATCAAATTGGTACTTCTGAGGGAAGTTTAAATTGTTTGTCTCATTTTCGTTGGATCATATAAAATTTAGGAAAATCGGCTAAAAAAAGGGCCTGATGGGTTTTAACGACATTTGTTTTAAAATGTAGACTCAGGGAACCCAGTTTAAGCTTCATACGTTTCCTATTTTTGCTGGCAGAAAAAAAAATGTTTTGGAAAGGCGGCCCACCCAAAACTGTGTTCTGAGGAGGCGCACAACAAATGTTACATTTTTCCTTGAATCAACATCACGTCCGTTATGCTTGCTCCAGCTGCTACTTTTACGTTACGTCCACAAGAAATATGAACGCCAAAAATATTTTGGAAATTTGACATTTGACATTTGAGCTGAGTGCTTCAACAGTCACGTTCTTGCCATGTTACAGCTTTCCGTGGATCTCCGTTTGATTGAAGCAAAGAGAACTATTTGAAAGTATCTTCCCCGAAAAAGTGTGACCCTATGGTGTGCATCACCAAATTGGAATTTTTCCTGAACTCAGCACGATTGCACGGAGACATCAGCCTGTCCTGATGAGCATATTTGCTTTAAATGTTTCCGACTGAAGTTGTAATTGTATTGATTGAAGCTGCTTCTTTGCCAGGTCGAATATGATCCTTATTCTGAACTCAGCATGTGAATAGCTACTTATGTCAGTCAGTCAGCTACTCACGATCATCTATATATATTTGATGAAAGTAGAATTGTTTTTTACTCAGCTATTCATCAGGAACTTATTTGCCAAGTTTAAACTTTCTAGCCTCCATTTTGCTGGATGAGAAAATTCAGGAAAATTTTCAAAATATGTGCCCTCGGGCGTTTTAACCAAAAAGTACCCCTTTTACCGAAATCAAACCTGAGTGAACAACATGCCCACCAAGTGTGAATCGTCTACGTTTGCCCTATTCGCTGGTGAAAAATCATGTTCGGAAAAGCCGACCCACCCAATAGTTATGCCCGGAGGGAATGCACCATGAAAGCTGAATACTCCCTGAACTCAATAATATGACGTCACTTATACGTCTGCCAAGTTTCACTTTTCAATTTATGTCCAATTCGCCATGACAATTTTTTTTAAACATTGCTTCGATAAATTTTGCCCTGGTGATGTATCAAGACTTAATATTTTTCTTTAACTCCTTATCTTGGTAGTCTCATTCCTGCAAAGTTCCAGCATTCCTTGTCCATCGGTTTAACTAATGCAAAAAAAATAAGTGAAAACATCTCCCTTTGAAATTTATTCCCCCCAGGGCATTTCATTCCAAAGTCTGAATTTTTCTGCACGCAGCATCCCGGTAAGTAATTATGTTCCAAGTTTCATCTTTCCACACGAGCTTAATACACTAGGACAAAAAAAATACTGGAAAACGTCGGCCCCCAAAAATATGCCCCCAGGGCATGGATCTAAAATGTTGCATTTTTCCTGATCTCATTGTGTTTGTAGGCACGTCCATACCACGTTTCAGCTTTGGGCAAACAAACTCGCTAGTCTAATATATATAGACGATCGTGACTGACTGACGCTAGTCATAAGCATGTTCTAGAAGGATTAGAAATATGAAACTTGGTACACATGTACCTTTTGGGATGCAGAGTTCAGGAAAAATCCCACTTTGGAGGTACATGCCATGGGGGTACAAATTTTGGGGTGAAACCTTTTCCTTAAATATATTTTGTGACAGATGAGGAGGGCATTCAGAGACTCAACTGGAACAGCTGGGTTCGTTGGTGTAGTAGTAGCATATCTGACTGTCAATCGGAAGATTAGGATTCAATTCCCGGCCATTCCTTGGCTTTCGTTTGGCCTTTTTGCCTTCCATGTCACGATACTCATTCCCTCTCCATAACATAATTGTTGCTTGAGTAAAACGGAGTGACGTGGAAAGCTGAAACTTAGCATGGACGTGCCTACTGAGACGATGAGTTCAGGAAAAATGCAAAATTTTAGATCCATGCCCTGGGGCATATTTTTTTTCAGCCGACGTTTTGAAGTATTTCTTTTTTTTTGTCCTGGCGTATTGAGCTGGTGTGGAAAGATGAAACTTGGTACATAATGACTTACCGGGATGCTGCGTGCAAAAAAAATTCAGACTTTGGAATGAAATGCCCTTGGGGAATAAATTTCAAAGGGAGATGTTTTCACTTAATTTTTTATTGCATTATTTAAAACGATGGACACGGAGAGCTGGAACTCTGCAGGAATGTGACTACCAAGATAAAAAGATACAGAAAAATGTTAAGTCTTGATACATCCCCGGGGAAAATTTCTCGAGGGGCGATGTTTAAAAAAAAAAGAAATTGTCATGGCGAATTGGTCATAAATGGAAAGGTGAAACTTGGCACACGTATAAGTGGTGTGATATTATTGAGTTGGGGGAGTATTCAGCTTTCATGGTGCATCCCCTCCGGGCATAGCTTTTCGGTGGGTTGTTTTTCCAAAAAAAAATTTTCTGCCAACAAAAAAGGGAGACGTATGAGGCTGAAAGGAGTTCCCTGGAAAGGAGAGTGGCATGGAGTTCCCTGAGTCAACATTTCAGAAGAAAAAAAAATTTCGCTAAAACCCATCAGTGCATTTTTTCAGTCCCATTCTCCTGAATTTGTTTTTGATCCAATGAAACAGAAACAGAAAATTTAAGCTTCCATCAGAAGTGCCTGTTTAATGGCTGAGTACAGAAAAAATCCTACTTTTGAAATATGTCTCCTTAGCATAGATTATTGGAGAGAAGTATTTCAAAATGTATTCACCACCCTTACTAAAAGGGACACGAGAAATGATTTAGAGTTAGGCACACATAGAATCATTGCAGTAAAGGGTTTGATGAAAATCAAGACTTCGACCCCATTTGTCACGTATTTCAATGGGGACGTACTGTAAATACGTGTTTGCCATTTCGCAAGGAGTAAATGTACTGACTCTCCAAGGTAATGGAGCGGTAATGGAGGTAATGGAGTTTGTTTGGCAAAGGGCAAACAACTTCGCTCGTTAGATATATATAGACGATCGTGACTGACTGACGCTAATTTTAAGCATTTTCTAGAAAGGTTGGATATATGAAAATTTGTACCCATGTCCTTTTTGGGATGCAGAGTTCAGAAAAAATCCGAATTTGGAGGTACATGCCCGAGCAGTGGAAATTTTGGGGAGAAACGTTTTTCTTAAATATATATTGTGGCAGATGAGTATGGCATTCAGAGAATCAACTGGTTGTCTTGGGTTTGGTAGCGTGGTAGGAGCATATCTTACCGGCAACCGGGAGGTCTGGGTTCAATTCCTTGTCTCTATTTCGCTTCTTTTGCTTCCATGTCCCGTTACTCATTCCCCCTCCAGAACATTATTTTTGCTTAAGTAAAACGGAGAGACATGGAAAGCTGGAACCTGGCATGGAGGTGCTTACCGAGACGATGAGTTCAGGAAAAATGAAAAATTTTAGGTCCGGGTACTGGGGGATATTTTTTGGTGGCGACATTTTCATGTTCATTTTTTTTTGTCCTAGAGTATTGAGCCATTGTGGAAAGATGAAACTTGGTACATAACTACCTATTGGGATGCTGCAGAAAACATCAGACTTTGGATGTAAATGCCCTGCGGCCACAATTTTCAAAGTGAGATGTTTTCAACATTTTTTTGCAACAGTTAAACTGATTAAAGTGGAAAGCTGAAACTTTGCATGATTGTGACTACTGGTACAAGGGGTTAAAGGAAAATGTGGAAAAATGGAAATGGAAAGGCGAGACTTGGCACACGTATAAGTGACATGGTGTTTTTGAGATGAGGGAGTATTCAGCTTTCTTGGTGCATCCACTCCTGGTTATATGGATAGCTTTTGGGTGCGTCGACTTTCCAAACATGTTTTTTCACCAGCGAAAAGGGCAAACGTATCATATTGATACTTTGTGGACATGTAGTTCATTCGGGATGGATTTTGGGAAAAAAAGGAAGGTATTTTTGGGTTAAGACGCCTCAAAGCACATGTATTGCAATGGGCGTATTTTCTCGAATTTCTGATCCAGCAAAACAAAGTACGCTAGAAAGTTTAAATTTGGCAAAGAAGAACCTGATGTATAGCTGATTAAAGAAAAAATTTTATTTTCATTATATATAAACGATCGTGAGTAGCTGACTGACATTCGCATGCTGTGTTGAAGAAAAATTCTACGTTGGTGGTCCATGCCATAGGGGCACATCTTTTTTATGAACATATTCTTAAATACTTCTCTTTGCTTCAATCAAACGGACACACATAGAAAAGTGAAACATGGCAAGGACGTAACTGCTGAAGCACAGAGCTCAGGAAAAATGTCAATTTTCCAAAATAGTGAAAATTTGGGGGGATATTTCTTAGGGACGTTGCGTTTTCAAAGTTTTTTCATCTCCCAGCAAATCGGGCAGAAATAGAAAAGTAGCAGCTGGCACACACATAACGGACGTGATGTTGATTTAATGAAAAATTTTACATTTGTTGTGCTTCTCCTCAGAGCTCAGCTTTTGGGTGTATCACTTTTCCAAATTCATTTTTTCCCGCCAATAAAAAGGTGGAAACGTATATAGTTGAAACTGGGTGACAAGGAGTTCCCTGAGTCTACATTTCAGAAAAATAAAAAAATTTCATTCAAACCCATCGGGGCCCTTTTTTTAAGCCCCATTTTCCTAATTTTTTTTTTATCCAAGCAAACAGACAAAAAAATTCCCTCACAAATAAAAATGGAAGTGTCGAAGTTTATTGATTGCTTCAATGAGGCAAGGCGAAACATATGGGGATGTACAAAAGTCTCCTATGAGAGATGATTCTATGGGTAAGCGGAGGGTACTTTAGTGTACTTTGAGAAATGCGAGAACCCCTTTCCTCCATATAGTGTCATAAAGGAGAACTTCAAATGGAACACTATTGGCCCAATAGGGAACCCTATAGGAATTATAGGTTCTAAAGGGAGACCAATATGTTCTCTAGGGAACCCTATTGGTTCTATAGGGAACCATATAGATCCGAAACGGAACCTACAGGGGACCTATAGGGTTCCCTAGTGGCCCTATAGGGAAACTATAGGATTCCTATATGTTCCTATCTAAGGCATTTTCGTAAGGGAAGTGAATGGGAAAACGCCAAAAACTAGATCCCATAGCTTTCCTGCATATGTGATAAAAAATCTTGTTTTTTCTTGCTTGCAAAAAGCCGTTCATCGAACTTTCCTCCTGAAGTCTCCTTGGTTCCTTTTCGTATTAGACTAAAAAAAATCCCTTTCTCCTACAGCCCCAGCTGATGACGGATCCACTGTAGACAAACAGAGATAGCGGATGTCCGTGGCGGCGTCAAGTGTTGCTGGGGACAGGATGCCTCGCTAGATAATGAAAGGGAACACATCTTCCCACGAAAGCCCTTATCTTATCTTTTCTTAGGCTCTTATGTACGAAAACCAAACAGGTGGGGCTAATCGAGGTAGTAGCAAAGCTTAACGTCATGAAACTTTTAGTCAATTGTGCCATTAACGAGATCGAGTTTTCTCCGCAACCAGATGCATCTGGAGCTTTAAAATTCCTGCTGCGATTCTGTTTACAGGGTTAAAAGCATGCTCCATTTCGTTCATGATAATTTCTGGAGTATTATAATTTGGAATTTAGACAAGCAAATGGTGGTAAAAGAAATGAATATTAAATTCTCCCCCTTTTCACGTGTCTGATTTCCTCGGGGTGTTTCACACATCGCCCCAAATTAAAAATAGTAGAACGGGGATCTTTCGGCTCAGACCCAGCTGCCGTTCCCTTCGCGAGCCTCGCTTCTTTTCCACGTTGATAAGGAAAATAACGAGACTCGTAGAGACGGGGAAACAAGCATGTTGTGTCGTCCTGGTTGGTTCATCCATACAGGACGAATTTCGAGTGAGTTCACAATGCGTGAAAATTGTGACGGTGACGATCATCACGCATGGCGTACGCTTCGCCATCGACTCGCATACCACTAACGTATGCCGTATGTATAATATCTTTAATGTCTAAACAGCCGCTTTGACGTTAAGTAGCTGTTCACTTATAATACCATCACGTTTTTCCAGAGTTTAATTGGCATTTCATGGCATCATGCAACTTGTCCTGCGTGAAATGTATCGTCCCTCTCACCATGCAGGGTTCATGGGACTCACTCGATTTGATATATGAGAAATGTCATGAAGGTTAATTGATGCAGCTAAATCGTTTTAAGTTTCAATCTTCGCCTTCCCATTTAGGGCATCCTATGTCGAGGTTCACGCAACTACATATTGGTGCAAGTTTCCATCAAAGTCGGTATAAGAACGTTTTTCCTTGGCATTAGCGCAAATGATAGGTCTTGGAAAGGATCCTGGATCGGAACCAAATGGAGAATGACACAAAAGAGGCACAAAAAAATGACACAATAAATAACCGGCTGCATTAGGTCCAATTCCTGCTTTTGGTATGCATTTTCCGCGAAAGTCCTTCAATCTCTCTCCCTCGCGATGTTTCTTCCTAGAGTTCTCAGACATATAGGAAGATAGGAAACGAATGGAGAATATTGGGGGAGAACATATTACGTTCAGTCCCATTCTTCCGACGGGTAATCGTTTGCCTGGAAAGTGCCCGAATCGAACTCACCGGTTCCCATGATTTTCGTGTGAGGTACACTTAGCAGTCTCTCTATGTCGGTTTCAAGATGAGTCCCATCTGATATTCCGACATGTGACTGAGATAATTTAGGACTGACATCGAATTCAGGAAGATAGTCGGATCAAAAGTCTTAGGTTAAGCTGAAAGGTAACTTCCTTGCAAAAAACCTGCGATTGTCAGTCATTGCCGTCAAATATTATTTTTAGCCTGTGCTCTCTTCAATTGGGTAAATTAATGCATCAGAACAATTCACCATTAAAGAGCACCTAGCTACCCCGTAACTTAACTTATCTATTTATGATGTGAACATGGGAACTGGATCACGGCTGAAAAAATAGCCTTCTGTTGTTGCCAATGAGGCGCAAATTCCAAGTTGTAAATTCCAATCTGTGAAATCGACATCGAGCCGACTCGAATGACCCAATTTAACTCCGAATATCGAGCGTGATAAAGTGCCCGGGGAATGAAGCTTGAACGACCTGGATATTGAGCTTTGATGCTTTCGGCATTGTCGGAGAAAAGTCCTTCGAAGATTGCAGTTGCCCTGCCACCAGTCGGCTTGTCAGTGAAGAGGCTATACGACACGACCCGTTGGCTCGACCCCCTCGACGTCGCTCTGACGCTGCAGGTCGATGGCACCGCATGGTCACCCTCGGCGGGTAGCCCCGAGTCGCAGTCACAAGGGAGGTCGGGGGCCGAAGATCCTCGGTGAGTCAGATTTGGAAGATTTATTAGCTGAAATGTCTTGTTAGACCTGAGTTGGTAAAGCACCAGAAGACATAGAAGAAAGAAGACGCCGAATACCAACTTCTTCCTGAACATGTCGACGTGAGAATCATGGCAGAGAAAACTATTTCAGGACAGAGATACTGAACGACTTATCATGCCGGCGATATCCATCGTGCAATAGATAACGCCCTTCAATCACACTAGGCGGCAGAGTTAGGTGTACAGACGAGTACGGCAAAGACGTGCAGGAGCTTTCGAAACCCTTTTCCTTCCGAAAAAAGAATGGCGCAAGAATAAGTGCCCCTCATTCAATCGCCCAGAAGGAAATAACATTGCCTCAAAAAATGTATAAGAAAAATTGACAGAAGCATATTCAGGAGCCAATGTGGACCAGCTCAAGAAGGGCCATAGCAATTTCCTCATTACGGCCACGCACTGCGTTCGTCATCTTCAATGAAATCGCGAAATCGCTTTTGCCACTTGCACGCACGAGAGCTATTGCGATTTGTCCATTTCTGAGTTTATCCGCAGTGATCTCTGGCTATCAATCAGTACCGTGGTGGTACCATTCCGTACGAGAAGTCTTTAGAAGTGCTTGGATTGTATTCGCTCGAGAGAGAAGGTTAAGGAGAGACGATCTAATCCAGGCTTCCAAGATAATTAAAGGAATAGATAATGGCGAGTGTGGTAGATTCTTCCAGTTCGATGCCAGCAAGAGTACGAGAGGTAATCAACTCCCCGTAGGTCAGTCTCAGGTTAGGACAATGTTTATTTGCAGAGTGATTAATGCGTGGAATGCGTTAGACGACAAAATAGTGACTGCCCCTACCGCGACTATTTTAATGAAAAACTAGAAGCGTTTATGGACAAGCAAGTAGGGGTGTAGTCTTGACTTAAGGGACTAGGAAATAAGTAACGAAGATATGCTGAAAAAAATCACAAAGCGCACAAAAGTGCAAATATTCAGCTTGA